CAAATGAAGATGATGATGATGATGATTATTGTGATTTAGATGATTATCATTAAAGGAAATGAGAAGATAATTTATCTTTTCAAGAATAGATTCAAAAGTTGGAATCAGGATGATGATGTTCATCATCATTATCATGAAGATATAATTGTAATCTGAAACTCCAAATGAGATAAACATGATGAATATTCAGTTGAAACTGAAACATTTATGATACTGTTTTTCCTACAAGAATTTAACAATCTTCAATCTTGATCTTAATTCAAACAATCAAATTTGATTATAATTAAAGAAAAAAAACTCTAATTCTAAAAATTGAAACAATTTATCAAATTACAATTCTAATTGTGATTGTAATTGTAATTGTGATCGTTTAACTTTTTTACAACAGGGAAAAAAATCCTCACGAATCGTTGAGTTCGAGGCCTGAACTTTAGGTACTCTTGAAAATCGAGTGAAACTTTTTCCCCATTTAAATGTTAATTGTTCAATCTAATTATCTGATAAATCACCAAGTTCATTGATTTAATTGTGAATTTATGATCAGCATTATTAAAGGTTTACATGGTCAATCGGTGCGATGGATTAACGCCTCTCATAATTAACCTCAAGTTAATTATTGTGAGACAAAAACAATTATTGTGATTAATTAATCACAATCAATATCGATTTTACTGATTGGATTAGTTGATAAAATGATTAATTGTTGAATTAAAGTGAGAAAATGATAAAACCATCAAAAAGCAAGTATACAAAATATTGGACATTTACCTTGATTAGTAAATTGCAGTTTTAATTGTTCATATCGGTAATCAACACAATCAGTTGAGAAAGTCCCGAGAATTGAATTTAAACAAACTAATCGTTAATTAACTGAACAAATTTATCAAAATTAATCAATTCAATTGAATTGAGTTTCTCTCTTTCACTTTATTTGGATTTTGTTTTAATTAATTTGGATACAAAATCGTTAATCAATAACTTCCAGGTAAATTGTTGATTTAAAATTAATACGATACGTTAATTGTTATTAAATCAACTTATCCTCGAGCAAATATAATCACAATTAAATCATTTTTTCTCATGACATTTGATTTATTTATCGTAACAATTTAAATTATCGTAAACAAAATGGTTACCATAATAATATTATCATTACATAAACTGTTGAAAGTAACAATCAGTTAATTGGTTGGATATATATTGTTGTTTAAATTGTTGATTGGCCATTTAAATTTTAATTTAGATTAAATTGTTTACAATTTAAATTGGCAAAAGCAAAAAATAAACAAACAAACAATCAACAAGAAAACAATCAGAAATTGTAATTAGATTCAATTGGTAATAATAAATTGCTACAATTAACAAAGTAACAATCTCGAAAAATGTTTGATCAACTCTTTTGATAATTTAACCATTTAAATCAAAAGTGATAATCATCATAAACCAACAACATCATGTTGATAGTAATTAACTTGATTACTTGTAAATGATGAAAGTAGATATTGGTCAAGAAAATAGTGATGCAATATTTATTATCAACTTCCTCATCAGCTGATGGTCATTTTCAATCATCAATCGTAATCAAAACATTTGATTATTAATCAAATCAAATGATCAACTTGATGAAATGAAAAAATTTGTTGTTCCTTTCATTTAATTTGATGAAATTTGTTTTACCTTAACGGTTATCAGATTCACCCTTTTAAATTGTTGCTTACAATTAGAATTGAAATTATCATTAATTATCTTAATCATGATGATAATGATGATGATAGGCTGGGTTTCCGTTGGAAACAAGATCTTAATTGTAATCTAATTAGCTGATTAATTGTGATTGTTTCTAAACATTTTTCAACACAATTTATCATAAGGTTTGTATTAATATTTGTTTGTCTCAATGAAATTAACGTTGCAGATTTAATTTGTAGCTGAGTTTTGTTAATTGTCATATTAATGGGCATCTCATGTTTACAGATTAAGGTGAATATGGGACATGATAAGTGACATTAATTGTCCACTTTGTTGGGCTGATTAGGACGCTAAAAACGTGCTAGGTCAGTGATGAACTTACCGAGTGACCAGGACAAAGTGTTAAAAATAATCTAGTCAAAAATTTGGGTTAATTTACCTTTGGGAATCCAGTTTAATGAGAAAAAGGTAATTGTTGATTAACCAAAGCTGCTTAATGATTAACAATTAATGTGGTAACAAAAGGTAAAATTTGACAACAATTAACAATAGATTCAGTCATCATTTAATCATCATCATCATCACTTATTGTCAACGGAAACCATTTGATTGGATGTGTGATAAAAAATTCATTAGAACTCATTTAATCCGTTAATCTGTTAATCCTTTTTATGTCTATGGATTAGTTTGCATCTTAATCTTAATTGATGATTATCATCTTGTAAAGGAAAATGATTTGATAATAATTTTCTATCTTTCTCTTTGCAATTGTAACTAAATTCAGTTTCATGATGGTTAATAATTGGAACTTGCTGATGATCAGGTGAAAGTGAATGATGAGAAAATGATGATGATAGAAATGGAGAGAAAATATTAATTGAAATTGGGTCAAATGATGAGGAATGATGAAGATAAAAATTTAGGGTAATTTAAGTTGGTTACAAGTTTTAAATCAAATCATCATCTCGAAGATGATTATTATTGTGATGATGAAGATGATTAGTTAAACTTCCTGCAATTCATTTCATGGTTTATGTTAACAACTTTTTTCTTCATACTGATTGTCTTATGAAATGATGATTAAAATGATTTACTTTTTCATGGTAAACATGATGATCAAAGTAGTTGATTAATATTATATTTTTTTTGCTTCTTCTGAGCAAATGATTGGGAAAAAAAAGTGAGTGATAAAAATCAAAACTGAATCAAATCAATGAAGTTTAATGCAAATCAATTGCAATTTCAATTTGATTTGATTTGATTTGAGTTTTAATCAACAACAACAACAAGAAAAGCAAAGTTATCCATCAAAATTTGATTTGAAACAATTAACCATTTTCAAAGTGATTGGTGATTCTATCTAACAATCTATTATTATCTTAGGATGTTAATTGTTTACAATTGGATATTGATTGTCGATGAGGATGAGGAAAAATGATTTACACCGGATTATCCTAATCCTGGAAATTTAGTTTGTATATATAAGGGATAAGGTCAAGTTCGAGTTAGAACAAGATGAAAACAAGTTCGATAATGACGATCAGGTTACTGATTGTGTCGATGATGATGATGATTAGATTGATTGTTGCCAAGAAATTAAGGTGAAAATAAATGTGAAATTGTGGATAAGTTCAAGATCGATATTTACAATTAATATTATTATTACTTTTTCTCCTTGTTTATCAAAAAGAAGAAAGAAAATAATGAATTGATTTAATTTGTTAATATCGATCGATAAACGTTAATTATCAACAATTTACTCATTTATAATAAATAATTTTCACTTTTTATTAATTTAGTTCAATGTGTCCGCAAGGGTTTACAATTAGCTGTATTGAGATTCAATCAGTTTCATCATTAATTTAGTTTTGTTTCTGTAAAGTTTTGATTAGTTTTTGTTTCTTACCTGTTTATCATTATGAACATGATTGATGAACTGGATTGAAAATTATTATAATTATCATGATAATCAACTAATGAAGTGAAAGTGAATGTTATTTAGCTCACACACCTTTAATATCCCAATGTTAATGTTAATTTTGGGTTAAAACAAGGAAAATATAATAAATTGTAATCAGTTTAAATTAACAGTTACAATAAGTAACAATTAATTAATTGGGATGTGTATGTAATACTTCAGGTCCAATAGAGCTTAAGGTTTAAGGAAATAATTAACTGAGTGATGAGTTAGATTATCTCTTAATCAAATTAGAATTAGCAAAAAGAATAAGTAACTTACTCCTTAATTGTTAATTTCTTTTTTTTGTTTCGAGAATTTCAATCTGATTGCTGGTTTCGAAATCCTGGTTCGAGTTCCGTTAGGCCGAACATCGAATTTGCGTTGAACTTTAGTTCAGGTAAAAATAGGAACCAGAGAGAGAGAGAGAGAGTTTGAGATTCGTGGGGAAAGATGAACAATTAGATTTCGACCTCAGATCATTGAGAAACTTTCCATTGGTATGATGGTGAGAAGATCTTTTCGTTGACTCAGAGAATTGAGAGTTCGAAAAGGTGATCGATGATTCTTGTAGATGGTAAAATTTCAATGGAATTAAATTCATTTTCTTTCTTGGTCTCGATCAAGATTCGAACGGGGAAAAGTTGATCACTAAGATATGAAATAGTTCGTGAAAATTGGTAACAATTAAGTGTATCTGATTGTACGAACAGCAAATGAGCTACAGTTTTCTTAATGAAGAGCAATTAAATGACTGAAAAGACCTTTAAAATTATCAACTGATTGTAATCATTTGGTTAATTTGATTAACTAAACGATAATATTAGAAAAGTTATCTAAGAGATTTAAATTGTTTCGAAATAGTTAAACGAAAGATTTGCTATTAAATTATGATAATTAAAGGACAAGTGATAATGTATCCAAGATGATATCAGATAAAGTGAGTTAATTGTTGATTAATTTTCACTTTCCTTTAATTTTGAATTGATTATTAATTGTTGTTTGTTGTTGTTTGTGATTCACAAAATTGAATAACATTAATGAAACAATAAAAGGTTACGAGATAAGTTAAAGATAATAAGTAGGCGTTCATATTATGATTGTTGTTGGACTCGTTGTCCGAACGGGTTCATGTTCGTTAGCACGTGATGAGAAAAAGAAAGAGCCAAAAAGAAAGACAAGTCTCTCTTCATATTCGTCATCATCTTTTTACTTACTTTTTCTCTTTCCTTCAAGAGAAAAAAAAATCATGTTCGCTTTCTCTTGGCCTCATCTCGAATTAGCCTAAATTTGGTTTACTCCCGCAACTCTTTCTCTCTCTCCCTCTCTTCGTCATCTTCCTTTCTCTCTCTCTCTCTCTTCTTCTTCTTTCTTATTCTTTCTCTCTCATCTTCATCATCTTCATCATCCCCTCCCTCTTTCTCACACTGATCTGTAAGAATAGTCAGACTCAATCGCGAATCAAGTCCACTTTCGACTTTACCGTTTGACCATTAGTATGAATCGAAAACGTAAGTAAAAACTTATAACTGTAAATTAAATTGTTCTTTTCTGTTATTAATATAAACAATTTTCTAATCTCTTCTTTTAATCTATCTCCTAATCCAATAGAGATTAACCAATTGTATCAGTGAATGTTGACCAATTATGGAATTGTAACCAGATTTTAATCTGGATCTTTTTTTTCCCTTCTGAGGATTCACTGTAACTCTCTTTGCTCTCTGTCTTAATTACAATCAAACAACGAAATTGTGTTTCAATTTAATTCTCGCCGGATCATATAAGCATCATCACCATCATCATCATCATCATAACAATCTAACAATTAACAACATCTCTACGAATCAATTTAAAGTGTTTGTGCAATTCCAACATCAAACATGTTCCAACAATTTACTCCAAGTTTCATATGTTTAATATTAACTGTTACTCTTTCTAACGGAATATTACTTCCTCGTCGATTATCACCTGAGAATCATGATGAGTCCATTTTATCGCCGGTTTTCAGTCCACTTCAACTCGAAGATACTTTTCACCTTGCCAAGGACATTGTCGTTCAACGACGTAAACTCGAGGCCAATCTTGAAAGAGACGGTAAGACTATTAATCTATCATGATAATCTCACCTTAATCCAAGAGTTTGATCCAATTTTAAGAAAATCAAATCAATCGTTAATCAGAACAATTAAATTTCAATATTTCACTGATTATGATGATTAGAGAGCTAGAAAATCAGTGTCAATTAAATTAAATGGCAAGTTGATTAATTAATTAGCTAAATTACGTTGATTAATTCATACATCATAAGAGTGTTTGAATTAAAGATGATTTTGTGTTAATTGTTGAAGAAAAGTTTATTCTTCCTGTAAATTTAATTTGATTTGATTTACTAATTGTTGATCCATTTTGAAGATTCACAACCTTCATCATTTTATTACAATTAAATTATAAACAATTAGTTTATTGACTAATTGACCTTACAAGATTAATTGGTTAAGAGTTATTACAAGGAAAATTAATCAACAATTAAAATGAAAATCAATCAATGTCAAAGGGAAAAGAAATTAACTTTCTCAATAATTTAATTTTAGATAAACAATTAACTAACCACTAATTGTATTCTCAAGATTTTTTTTTTTCAATTGCAATCAAATTAAATAAAGTCAACAAGTTTATCAACCAGGAATTAATATCATAATCATCATACTAATTATAAATCTAGACTGAAACAATCAACAATCAAATTAAAAAGTTAAAAATCGTAATTGAAAAGTTGAAGAGAGAGAGAGAGAAAAAAATTTTAAAATCAAATAAATTACACCCAAAGTCTGAATAATTTATATCACAATTAACTTTTAATTTGATCCAAAATGAGCATCACAATTAAAACTAATCATTGAGACACAATCTTAAATTACTAACAACTTTTTTTTTATACTTTTCCATTCATATTAATATATTAAAAGAAAGTAAAAAAGATTAAGACAAATCATCCCAATGATTTAATTAATCAAACCCTTGAGCAAATGATTATTACTTAATCATGTTAATCAGTTTACAATTAACAGTAATCATGGTAATAATAATAATAATATCCAATAAGAATATATATTAATAAGTATATATATAAATCGGTTTAAAGGTCAGTCTACAAAAACGATTCGGACATTATGATGTCGACGATAATTATTACGATTAGTCTTATGTGTAAGAGAAAAGCAAAAATCAACTTTTTTTAATTGTGTCTCATTAACTTTTCCAACTTGTTATATTAATCTGTCAATATATCACTTTTGATCGGTTGATCATGTTGATCAGCATGATTATTACTTAATCATTTCCCTATGATTAAAGCTCCTACGGCAAAGTATTAACAGTCTCTCATCATTTTTTATATTCTCATTTCCATCTTAATATTGTTATTACTTATCGACGCCTTGTTAATCATTTGTACCAACTACCGATTGACCTGGAAAACTGATTTCGCCAAATCTATCACAGTAGGCCATACTTTCATCATCTTCATCTTCATCTTCATCTTCATCCTCATCATTTTCAGTTTCATCTTCTTCATCCTCTCTCTCTCTCTCTTTTGTATTAGGTGTTTATTTTTGATTCATCTTCATCACTATTATTATCATTATCATTTTGTCTCTCACTTAACATTGTTTGTGATTGAAAACCTAATCACAACAATTTAAACAATTGGCAAAGTGATTAGTAAATCAATCGTTGTTATCCTAATCTTAATCTTGATTTAGAAAATAATATCAATCAACAACCTTTGAATCTGTTAATCTGTTTGTCTTTGTATCAATTTAACTTTTCTTGGAATAACTTTTTTCGTTAACAAATTTAATCCAGTTAATCCGATTAAAACTTTTCTATTCTTTAATAATTAATATCAAAAAGTATAAAGAGGTAATTTAAATACGTGTTATCATTAGATGGTCAGTGAGATGATAAATTGATCCAATTGGTCAAGAACTTGAATCTCAAAACTGGACAAAGTTTTCCAAATACTAATTAATAGATCTTGAATCTTTAATTAGTAGTTATTGTCAATCAAGTCCATAGAGGACACACAAAGAATTAGTAAAGATATTAACTGTTGGATTGTCACTTTCACTGAATGACCTTAGTGGTTATTAATTAATATCATTTTTTTTGACAAGAACAATTAATTTTGACCCTTAGGTGAATGAAGGTTTAATTATAAAAAAAAGAGTAAAGTTAATTGTTGCTCATCATCAACTAGAAGTATCCAACTAATAACCATTTCCGTTGTCCAGTTAATTGAATAATTATTTTACCTTCGATAATTGAGTTGCAATTAACAGTCCAGTCCAGTTAATTAATCCTAAATTGTGAATTACAGGTAACAATTAAAAAAAAAGATGCTCAAATTTTGACCTTATTCAACGTTGAATATATAACATAAAGATGAGTCTCATTTGGACCATCATCATGTCCAAGTATTTGCTCAGTGTAATCAGATAATGATGATGATGATGATGATGATGATGATGCGTGGGGATATTATTACTTGTCTTCATCTCTTTTTCATCCTCATCATTGTTTTTTTTGCTACATTTAATTTACTTTGATAAAGATTCATGTTTACTTCCCATGATCTTGTTTTCACAATCAAAATTAACCATATTAACGTAATAATAATAATAATATAAAAGTTCAATGGTCAATCTAATCCAATCTCATATGATTCATATTATTTTTCATGTTGATTAAATAAACAGGTAAGATTAAAATTAACTGTACAACAATCAACATTATTAAGATAACAATATGAAAAAAAGTAAACATTTAAATTCAACATGAATGATAACGGAACTTTTTTTTTGTAATTCTTACCTTTACCTGAAACTGATTAACTATTAATGTAAATTATCATGATGATAATGATGATGATGATGATGGTTATTTTAATAACACAATCAAAAGTAATAATAATCATGATAATTATGTTAAGCCTGATGATGATCATGTAAAAATGAAGATGATGATGATATTCAACTTGTATTTAGAATCTAAATTGAATTGAGATTTAATTCTGTAATTCAGAATGTTAATCAGGATTAGAAATTGAAATTTAATCAATATTACAATTTATTTAAAATTAAAAGATGATGAAATAGTAATTGAAATTAATCTCGATTAATTAATAATCAATCAATATGATGAAAATATCGTTGAACTGATTGATTGAAATAATAATAGCAGTTGATAAATTGACCGATTTCATTGAGAGAAATGTTAACAATTAAATTTGATTACCATTGAAATGTTGTTTAAATTTATCATTATTATATTGTTACACAATTTGTTTATTGTAATACTAAATCAATTGTTAATTGTTGATTAATAGAATTAAATAATCTCTCTCTCTCTCTCTCTCTCTCTTGATTAAATCCATTGAATTGACATAAACTTAAACTTGACCCTATCAAATGTTAATTGTTGTTAACAATCAACAGCAGCACCAATTGGTTTGTATTGGTAAAATTGATTGTCATCTAAATTTAATTGTCCAACAAACAACTTGTCTCATCAGTTAAACATTCAAAGTTATCATGAATCTATTATTAGTTAATAATGTTATTACAACGTTATTAGTTTGTTATTGTGATTGTTGTTGCCCTGTTGATTAGGTGAATGGTCAAGATGATGATGGTCACTTTTGATTAACCCTCTTGAGGCTATTTTTAATTCACAAACAAATATACAAATCAAACAACCATAATAGTAGAAACATTTTGGCCTCGATTTTTTGTTTCTCTCCGCCGACTTAATATCTTTTCACTTATATTCAAATGATTCCAATTTCTTTCACTCAATCGATTAACAGGATTAAGGATTAACACGAATTAATTAATTGTATTATCTGATTAATAATCATATTCGTGTATGGGTGGGCTCCTTTATCTTGTGTAATTATCATGTCATCGTCTTTGCTATCACCTTAATTAAAAGATAGATGGATAATTGTTTCACTAATTAACATGATTAACCTTTGAAAATTCAAGTTTCATTTTTGATTGGAAATTTTTTCCAATCATTTGATGAAATTTATTCACTCTCAATGAATCGTTATCATAATTAACTGATTAGATAATTAATCTTTCATCTCTTGATATATATATATCAAGTTAATCTTTGTAGTTCCGGTTCTTGGATTGATTTTTTTTTCGCTTCGATATTTGATTAATTTGATTATTATTAATGAATAACTTTCGATTTTGTTTTTCGATTTGATTATTGATGATAAATTTTTAATTCTTCCAACAGGTTTGATAACTGATATGAGTAAAGAATCAGCTGTTACTCGTCATCAAGCAGTTACTACAACGTTAGAACGAGGAAATGATTTAGAAAAGCGCCAAGAAGTTTTTGAAGAAATGAGTAAACTTCTTGCTCGAAAGTAAGTTTTTCCGTTCTGTTTCAAAACGATTCATTCTGATTCACAATTAGATGATTAACTGGATAACTTTTTCTATATTTAAAGTATGTCCTATGATCCAATTGTACCCGCTGCAACTGGAATTGCATTAGCACGTATTGAACTAGTGGCACCCGAAACACGACAAGCAATAGCCAATTGTAAGGAAGATCAACATTTCCATTGTGATCCATATAAACCATTCAGAAATTCTGACGGTTCATGTAATAATCTTCACAATCCAAGCTGGGGAACACCATTCAATTGTTTCACTCGATTGATTCCTCCATCATATGCCGATGGACTATCAGCTCCTCGTATCTCAGTGACCGGAAGTTTACTGCCCAACCCAAGAGTTTTATCAGCTGTACTTCATCGGGATCTAAACTACCCTGCAACTTACACCCACATGACTATGCAATATGGTCAATTTTTTTCCCATGACATTGCCTTCACTCCAAGTTCAAGAACAAGTGAGTTAGAAGTTCCCAATATCAACCAATCGATATCACAATTAATACTCAAATAATTGTATTTCCTTTTCCTTTTTCCACAGAGGATGGTAAAATGATCCAATGTTGTCCACCATCACCAAATAATCACCCTCAATGTTACCCAATTTTGGTTCCAAAGGAGGATCCATTTTATAGTGGATACAATGAGTATTGTCTTAATTTTGTCCGAACTGCAATGTGCCCACAATGTAAATTAGGTGAGTAACTATTAATTAATTGTCAATCAATTGGAAATCTAATTGAATTTTATCTCTTTCCCATCGGATGCATTTTCTTTAGGACCAAGAGAGCAAATGAATCAAATCACCTCCTTTATCGATGGTTCCATGGTCTATGGAAGCATGGAAAATGAAACTCGATCACTTTGGACTCGATCTGGACCAGGTAAGTTAAAGAGAACCCGAAAGTTATCAACAAAAATATATCTATTAATTTCTAATCAGCTGGAAGAATGCACATCTCTGTGGATGCTAATGGAGGTGAATTGTTACCTCATTCACCTGAGCCCGATTCTGATCAATGTAGTAAACCTTCAGAAAACATGTATTGTTTCAAAGCAGGTAAGATGATAATTCTGATAATGATGATGAAAAATTGGAATTGAAATCGTAATGAAATCGTATTTTTTTTCTCATTTATCTAAATCAAGGTGACAAACGTGTGAATCAACATCCAGCACTTACCTCACTTCATGTTGTCTTCCTCCGTCAACATAATAAAATTGTCAATGAATTAAAAGCAATCAACCCACACTGGGATGGTGAAAGACTTTACCAGGAAGCAAGGTAAACATACACTACATCAAATTAACGGTTAACAATTAACTCAAAATCACAACTAACTGTGCAAAGACCGGTAAAGAGTTAAGACTTTATCGTAAATACAGAAACAACAATCAGTAAATTTATCAACAGAACAAAAAAAAACCTCCAACGCAATTACATTGAACATGATTATTTGGATTCTGATTGTGATTATATGAAATGATGAACGAAAATCCTGATTAAGGAAACTGATTGAAGAAGAAGAAAACAATTTAGATTTGATTATTTAAACCAATACATTGATTAACCTAATTTTTTTCTCTTCCATTGATCATTATGAGTATGATGATCATCCATCAACTCGTATTGTTTTAAATCATGTTTTCTAAATCAACCCAACTAAAGATTGATCATCAACCTTTACAAATTGCGATTCTTTCATTGTTTTTATCACTTAATTTTATTCAAATACTTTTTCCTTTTAAATCATCACCCAAATTTGATTGTGAGACAATTAATGATTATCATTTGAATTTTTGATCTTCTATCTCTCTCTTTCACTCAATTTAGACGAATCAATGTCGCTCAGATTCAGATGATTACCTTTGGTGAATGGCTTCCATTGATTATCGGTCCTGATGCTATGAAGTTCTTGAAACTTTACGTTCTCCCCTATGGTTTTACTGAATACGATCCTTACACTAATCCAAATATTATCAATGAATTTGCTGGAGCTGCTTTTAGATTTGGTCATTCATTGGTCAACAGTGTTTTCGCTGAGATTCTTGAGAATGGTAAACCTTCAGGTTATCGATTGAGGGAAAACTTTTTCACTCCATTCGGTTTGTATCATGGTCAATTGGATGCCGTTATTCGTGGTCTAGTTTCCCAAGCATCACAGAATCGTGATCCATTCATCTCACAAGATATGAAGAATCACTTATACCGACCAAAGGACTCACCCTATGGACTTGATTTACCAGCGTTTAATATTCAACGAGGTCGAGATCATGGTATCTCTGGTTACACTTCTTACCTTAAATTTTGTTTCGATGAAAAAATTTACGATTGGCATCAATTGGATCAATATATGCCCACATCTCAACGAACTAAATTCCAAAATCTTTACAAGTAAATGAAAACTAATTACTTTCTAGTTGACCATCAAATGATTAACCTTTTTTTCCTCTCTTAATCTCATCCATTATTTAGATCTGTTCATGATATTGATCTTTTCTCAGCTGGATTAGCTGAATATCCCTTACCTGGTGCTGCTGTTGGACCAACATTCACTTGTGTCATTGGTATTCAAATGTACAACCTTAAATTTGGTGATCGTTTCTGGTTTGAACATCGTGATCAAGCTGGATCATTTTCACCAGGTAATTAACTTTTAATCAACTAAAATAAACTAATTGTGAAGTAAAAACAAATCAAATAGTAACAAGTCATGAATGAATATGAAATCAAGTTAATTCATTCAACTCCTTTTACCCTCAGGTTAATTGTAAAAAAAAGTATGACATGAAAATCACATTGATAATCATTAACAACAATTAAAACTCAAAATGATTTCTTCAAATATGATTTAGCTTAAGAAATAGATTAACAATTAATATTATCTGATTATATTATTATTTGATATTAATAGTAATCGATACAATTAATTGGATTATGTATAAATTTGATATGATTAGGGTGTATTAGAGATTAACAAGATTAATTTAATTGCTGACCGATTATGACAATTGATTTAATCAGTTGATTGACCCGATAAAGAAGCCACGAGAATGCAATTTAATTATAAGCTTTTATTTTAATGGTGATGATTAAAATCAATGAGATTAATTTGAATGATGATGAAAATATTTGAGAATCGTTTTGATTAAAATCTAAACACTTAGTTAATTTAGTTAATCAATTTGATAGGAATTAAAATTATCAATTGAGTTGAAACTTTTTTTTTCTTTCCAAATCAATTATATAATCAATTGTTAATTCAATGAACCCTTTCACTTTTGGTTTTACTTAACCAACAATCAAATTGTTGTATAAATTAAATTGTTACAATATAAATCTATTATTAAATTGCTCTCCAGACAGTAGTTAGTTGATTAGTTAGTTAGTTAGTATTATTTATCATTAAATGACACCAATCAATCAGCATCAATTATATTTATAATATTAATCAACCATTGTCAAGTTTATTGGGATGAAAATTTCCCAAACTAATCAACTAATTGTTGTCTTAACAAAAAGCTCACAATTTAAAGATGATTAACTAATTGTTGTGAAAAATTTTTTCTCCTCTTCCAGATCAACTTCAAGAACTTAGGAAAACAACATTCGCTCAGATCTTATGTGCCAATAGTGACAAATTGAGTTATATCCAGAAAAATGTATTCCGAGGAGAATCACAAAGGTAAGAACACAATTAAGCTAAATTGTTAACAATTAAAATTGATTGTTAAGAGAAAACAAAAGTCTACAACAACAACAACAACAACATGATGCAAGAGAACAGGTTTATGAATGATTGTAATACTATTAACCATTGAACGGAAATTGTAACGGTAAATTTTCAGAAGCAAATTGTAAGTTTGTATTTTTCCTTTGACTGTGTTAATTGTTTCATCCAATTGAAAAGTAATTAGATTTTATTTTTATTTACCACGAGAATATCATCTAATATTAATTATTAATATTACTCTCGAGCACGCACTCATGCCTCACGCTTATCAATCTCGTACCAAATTAATTCATCAAAACGTGTTTATTTATTGTAGTTGCGAATGGTGATTAAAATGATTAGGAAAAGATGTTAAACTGAATCAAGTTAATTTAGAAATGATCATCATTTGAATGGTGTTTGTGTGTAGACTGATGAACGAAAAAACACCATTAACATACATTTAATCGTAACAATCAAGTTAATCATGGTTAAGATGAGTGAGTGAGAGAGAGAGAAAGGTTCACTATATGTAGATTAGTTGAGGAAATTTATTCATTATGATTAGTGATTAACAGTTAGACGATTCTGAGAGATGGACAAATGTTTGAATAATTAAATGTAGAAAAGGAAATAATCAAAAATTGTTTCGAACTGAATCAAATTAACCAATTGATGAGAGAAAGATTAACTTGTTAACTGTGATGAACACTTTTTTTTTCATCACTAATCCGGAAACAGTTTTATCATCATCGTGATTGTTAATGGTTTCAACACAATTTAAATTGTTGCGATGTGATGATTAATACATTTTCTGATTGTTAAAGTAATTTAATCAGTTGAAGTTTTTTTTTTCTTCATCTACTTTGCTTGAACAGTTTGAGACATTGATTCAAGTTGAAAGTGATTTTTTTCTTGCTTCTTGATTCTTTCATCAATTTAATTGTTTTCTCCTCACTTTCCATCATCAGCTGATTGTTGGCATGATTAACTAATTGTTTTACTCTTTTTCCGTTAATTTCAACAGAAATCCAGTTGTACCATGTAAATCACTTCCAACTCCTGATTTAAGGGCATGGAGAGAGACATTAAATTATCCTGGATCTGAGGTTCCAAACAATTATCATCCTTAATTAATTTCTAGGGAAAAACTTTTTATTTTTTAAATCTAATTTTAATTACTTTGATTGGACAATTAACAGATTTAAGATTATAATTGATATTAGCAAATAATCAACGACATGGGAACACAATTGAAGATTAATTTTTCAATTAATTCGCCGTTTTAATTAACTTGAAAATGTTGCGAAATCTAATTAGTAAAATTATCATGATTACATCTCATCAATTGTATACAATCAAATCATCAGAATCATCATCATCATCATCATCATCATCGTTATCATCTTAATGATTGTTACAATTAACGTTTCCATCAATCATGATCCATTGAATTTCAGCTTGAAAGAAATGAAATTGAAACGATTTATATCAAAAAGCAAATTAGATTCTAATTACAATCAATTGAATCTTTAATTATATCAATGAATATATTTTTTAATTGTGTTTTTCAATCAAACCTAAATTTCCCTGACAACAATTACCCATTATAATTATTAATTAATTAATAAATAAATGTAAATATAAAAAGAGAAAGTTGAGATTTTTTTTTGAAAAAAAAAATTCGCGCAAAAAAAGTTTGGTAATAATTAAAATCGTTGAACAATTAAAAGTTTCTCATGTTAATTATATTGATGATTAACATTGATTGTGATGGTTAATCAGTATTGATAATCTTGTATGAGCAATCAATTGGGATCCAGGTAATAATTGTAAATTGTTAACCAGTTAAATTAACAACAAGAGTAACAAGGTTTCCCATTGAGTGATTGATTGTTGATCACAATTAAGATTCAAGTTGATTTGTTGTTGTTAAATTTGTACATATAAATTGTTCAGGTCATAAAACAATTGGTTATTGATTATTAAATTGTGATTTAACTGTTACTCTTGTTGGTAATTGTTGATTACTGTTATAACAATAAACATTAAATTGTTATCATGAATCCGTGATAATCATTAATAAATTAAGGTTATCAAATATGAATTACAAATGATTAAGATGATTGTGATGAATTGAGTTTCCTCTGTTTACAATTAAGCTTTTTTTTCAGTTAATTTGAATAAATCTATTTCTTATTCATCATTAAATTGTAATCAACACACAAACAAAATTAACCTGCAACAATTTAATGAAAGTTTATTTTTAATGGGAAAATAAATTGGCCTGATTATATTAATAATAATCAACCATCAATTTATAATTAAACTACATGATACTGATTATGAATTAATCATCTTCAAAGAGATTAATTGGTTGACCATCATAATCAAATTGATTCTCGGGGAAAAAAAAGAGACTTTAATTATTGATGGAAAATTAATTAACTTCATCTTAATTGTAATCAAAGTTTATTGTCTTTGAATCAATCAAATTAAGTAAATATATATAAGATAAAAAGGTAATCATTGATTGTTCATTTATCGTCTTAGTGTTAATAGTTAATTGCTGTTAATTGAGGTTTACAATTGGTGAATTGGTGGATAGAAAAAATTTTTTTTCTAACAATCAACTAACCAATCAATCAATTGATGATCAATAACTTGATTGTTAACTTGCTAACTTTTAGACTTATTGAATTGACACTCAAGTTTAAAGAGTGTTCATTGCAAGACAATTAACAAGATAAAGAGAAATTAAATTGTGATTAATTGTTTTCTCAATGAGAATAAGTAAATTGTCAACAAATCTCAACTTCGATTGGAAATTTTAATCGAAAATTAGTTCGATTAAAATTCACTTGATGTCTCTGTAGATTTTTCATTTTGGCGCCTAATTGATTTACTTTTGAACATTTGGTCATCTCTTTAAAAGCGTTTTTTTTTGTTTTGACCAAATTGTTTACTAATCTCTTGTTGGATTAATTTTAATTGTTTAGAGTTTTTGTTTTCTTTAAGTGAATTTACTGGTATTGTAATGAAATAATGGGTGATCATGTTTTGTTAAACGAAATTAATATCGATCAAGTTGATAGATTGCTGGTTAAACACGGGAAAAGAGCCTTCGGTCCTTTGTCCGTGAAATCGGCCTGGTTACCAATCATCTTGACCAATAGTTTACGAGCAAGTTGTGGTGAAATTGTACCAATTAATGTGCAAACTTTGACCATTGAACAGCTCAATCAAATCACTCCACCTCGATGGTTGATTAAACTACGTAAAGGAAGAGTCCACGAGGAAGATATTGAAAAACTATTGCGTCTTGGGATTAATAATATAGACCAATTGAAAGGCCTAACTGATAGTTTTATGAGAGATGCTGGTATTGGATTGGAAGCTCGAAGGTCAATTAATAGGATAATCAAATCTCCAAATACATCGGATCTTCACTGTAATATCATTGATCTTCCTCATTCATCGTTACCGGAGCCATCAGGTGAATCTGATTCTATGGAAAGTAATTACTCTGATGCAAGTGAAAGAGGTGAAGGTGATAATACTAATCAAGTTCGACCGGTTTCCACAGAAATTGTTGAAAATGTGATCAGATTCATGACAAATCAAATGGAAATTCAAGATCCAACGGTAATGGCCAATTCTCATCGATATGTTCGCAGTGTTGTTTCACTTTTACTCCAAATTGTTGCAGGAAGAGTTCCAATTGTCAGGTTGATGCAAGTAGCCGGTTCCATTTGGGATCTTCTTAATCAATCAAACACCACAAGGAGATAATTCTGTTGAAAAGGAAACCCATGGAATCCATTAGACACATCGGACAAATGAACATCAAATCAACACTTTTCATCACAATTTTCATGTTCACTTTCATTTCCATCAACATGAAACATGTTATTTGAAATTCAAACCACAATTTAAATTATGGCCAATAGACTCGCCAAATAATCTAACCCAGTTACTTTAATAGATTTGCCATCTAAAATGATGATCAGTGATCAATAATATTTTAATTAGTCTCTAGTGATCAAAAATCAGTTACAAATCTAATTCAAGTCTTATCATCACCATGTAGACACAAAATTGTCTGATTGTATTCAACTTTTATAACTTTGTATTTTTATATCAAAAAGTTCATTACTTGATCATTGTTGATTTGAATAAAATTGTTAAGCAATTTAAGAGAAAAATATATTTCTAATTGTAACAATCAAAAAACAAGAGGAAATCTCAATTGTTATGATTAGTGTTTACATTTTCCAGTCAGGTGACTTTGAGAATCTCATTCACAGCTGATCACCAACTCGTGGTTGTTTATAGTTACATTGATTTTTATTTTTCCTTTTTTTTTAAATGTTTTTTTGGTGTTTAAATTGTTCCATTCAAATTTAGATTAAATGTCACCCGGATTAACCCGTCATTTAGCTGGTAGAAGATATTTGAACCATTTCAATTCGTTACTTAAAGGATCGAGAAGGAGATTAAGTGAATCCATTGATGAGCAACAAAAAGACAAAGGAATCAATGAAAATGATACAAAATCAGGTTCGGAAAACAATGGAAACAATCAAGATTCCAGTAATTTAAACCATGTTGACAGTTCAGATTTAAATGTAAACAGTAAACCTCGATGGGTTGCAGCCGAACGCGATGCCCGATTAGCCAAATACCGAGAGATTGTGAAACAACCACCGAAATTTGATTCATCATTTGTTTTTCAGCCGCAAACTGATTTTACCTTTCGTTATCCTATTTTCCACACAACGATTGATCCCCGAATTCCCAGTTCCTCATTAACCGATTCTAAAAAGGATTGGACCAAAACCCTTGCAGATGTACTGAAAAAGCCTTTAGTTGATTATCCTGAAACTTGTGATTTCCTGATTATCGGCGGTGGGATCATCGGTCTATCCACTGCCTTTTTCATTCAACAAATTTGGGGTAAAACCACTTCAATTATCGTTGTTGATAGAGATTATAATGTAAGTATATTCTAATTTGATTCAATTGAATTGTACTCTTTCTCTCTCTTTTTCTAATCATGAAATTGTTATTCCATCTTTAGTATACACATGCAGCGTCTAATTTATCTTTGGGATGTATTAGACAACAGTTTTCCCACCCGACTAATGTGAAAATGGCCGCGTTGGGAGCTCAATTTTACAGGCAGGCAAAGGATCATTTGAGTATGATGAATGCCGATCCACCGGATTTCAATTTCCATCCTCAGGGGTACATGTTCCTTGTCGATCCCATTCGAGCTGAAAATTTCATCAAATATCATGAAACACAGACTGAATGTGGAGCCTTTGTTGACATTTTATCGCCAAATGTGTTGAGTCAAAGATTCCCCTGGTTGAACACCGAGGGAATCGTTTTCGCCACCTTAGGTTTACAAGATGAAGGTTGGATTGATCCTTATCCGGTTCTCGTTGCGTTAAAGGGTAAAGCTGAATTTCTTGGTACAACTTTCTTGGAAGGGGAAGTTTTTGATTTCAATACAAATGTCGCATTTCCGACTTCATTTTATCGAGATGAACTAAACGATCCAATGGAAACATGTAATAATGCCCTGATACGTTTTCCAAACGATGAGATTGGACAAATATCGTTCGCTCGTTGTATAGTTTGCTGTGGTGCCGAATCAAGGGTACTCGCTGAGACTTTGGGAATCGGAACAACGCCCGGTCTAAGACGTATTCCTTTACCAGTTATGCCAAGGTAACAATTGATTGTTATTGACCAATTTTCATCTAATTATTATGTAAAAATTTCTCTTATTCATAAATAGAAAGAGATACGTTTTCGTTTTCAATGCTCCGGATGCTCCAATATTAGATTTTCCTGTGATAGTTGACCCAAGCGGTGTAATTTGCCGACGGGATGGTTTAGGTGGAAACTTTATTGTTACTAAATGTCCAACAAAGGTACATTATTATGTAAATTGTTCAATTGTAGGCTAACTAATTCTCTCTGATGTTGATTAGGAAGAGGAACCAGATCCTGGTAATTTGGATGTTGATTACAGTTTCTTTGAGAAAGTAATTCATCCAATTTTATCGAATCGGGTTAAAGGATTTCAAAAGGTCAAATTGGTCGCTGCTTGGGCTGGTTATTGCGATGAAAATGTTTACGATGGTAATCCGATCATTGGAAATCATCCTTTTTACAATAACATCACTTGGCTTTGTGGCTTCGGTTCACATGGTATCCAAATGGCTCCAGCGGTTGGTCGAGCAATGGCCGATCTACAATTGAAAGGTCACTATCCCGAAGAGCTAGGATTTAATTTATTACCTTTCTCCTGGGAGAGAATGTTTTCTGGAGAAAAAGTCTATGAAGATTTGATTCTTTAATCCAATAAAATTAACGAATCTTTCATTTCTCCTTGATAAACCAAATGTAAGCTCAAATTTCAAATGAAAATGACAATATTAGTTTGACGAAAACATTGTCAAGTCAATTGTCTTCAATTGGTTGATAGAAAAATTTAAATTATTTATTGGATATAATTGCTTATTCTATCCTAGTTAATTTACTAAATCATCGAGTTGTATTGACTGTACCGAAAATATTAGCAGTTTGTTTACTTGCGGCTCTCGATGGAGCGAATCCTAAAATTTTTTGAATATTCTGTCAGATATTATTCAAAGAAAAAGAAGAAAAATTAATTTTTCATAGAATAGAACATGGGTTTTCCTTCGTTAATTAGGACTAATTGTTATTCTTACCTGTCGTATTGACATGGTACACAAAATGTACAAAAAAATGAAAGAACAATCAGTGTAATCATTTCCAGAAATATTCCGATGAGACAATCCTTGGATCAATGAAATTGGTTCGAATGGTAACTTTGCGACAATCCGTCCATCGAAACTAATAGAAAATTTGATGACTTTCATGATGAAATTCTGATGAAATGTGAGCATTGAGAGAAACTTACATTGAATTAAACATACTAAGAAGAGCCGTGAAGGCCAAACCAATAGCGAACATGGATTTCATTTTGACAAGTGAAAGGTCACGATTATGATTCTTTAATTTTTCCTCTTCACGTTCCAATTTCTTTTTCTGTTGTTTATCACTTGATTCACCGATAATCTCCTTCTTCTTTTCCACTGATAAACCAATGAAGAGAGAGAGAGAAATAACCAAAAAGTTCCAATGGAAGAATTTGAAAATTTGAAAAATGAACTCAAATTCTCAAATACAATATAAACTTACATCTTTTACACTGTCGTTCAACTTCACCTTTCAATTTTTTAAACTTCTCAGTTCGGTAAACCATAAGCCAGGTAAGAGCTAAATAAGACAGGAAAATAAAAAAAAATCAATTAATTTTAATTTGTTGACAGAAAATCATAAGAATCAATTTACAAAATTAATAACCCAAAAGAGTAAATGAAAACCAAGACAAGGAAAACTAACCTTCACCTAGAAGAGCAGTGAAAATGGATATAAAAAGGATCAGAATACAATCTTGATACATACTGAATTTATTATTAAGTGAAAATTAAAAACCAGAATAATTAATTAAAAAGTTAATTTGGTTGAAAAGAAAACAATTAATTTCAAATCATCTGTTTACATTTAGAAAAAGAAATGAGTTTGAAAAAAAGGCGGGAAATTCAATTTACTTTGATCAACAAGAATTTAAGTTTAAATTGTTATCGATTATCTGATTTAAAAGATTAAAATTGTTTGAAAATTATCCAATTAATAAACAATTAGAAGAGGAAAAATCTTGATTAAATTGATTGGATTATTGGAATTCTTTCAACTTTAAGCCTAATTGCTTTTTATTGATTCTGATTGATTTTAATTGTTGAGCTGAAACTAAATCAAACTGTCATATTCAGTTGATGTTATTCAATTAATCATATTATTGATATTTTCACCTTGATTGATTAATCCAGTTACAAAAATTACTCAATAAATTATGAAATGTTTTTCAATTGATGTTTGTTTTTTATTCAATACCAGACAAATTATTATAACGGTAAATTTATTAATCCATTTATTTTGAGAAAAATTAATCAGCTTGATTAACTGATTGTCCAGGTATATAACAATTTCATTGATTACAAGGATTAATGATTATTAAGATTAAGATAATCATTATTATGAAATTGTTACAAAAGTTTATCACAAGTATTAAATCAGTTTAATTGAGATGAAAATCATTCCTATTGATATTATCAACTATTGATTGATAAAATATCAACTAGAGTTATTAATGAGTGTTAGATAAGGTATTGATTATCAAATTAACTTAACCACATCAAATTAATCTGCTTTGATTGGGATTCAATAGACAACCATTAAAAAAAAGTATCAATTTGGATCAATATGATTGTGTATTGATTGAGATCATGTTACATAATTTTCAATACCTTCAAGTAATTAGCTTTGATAATAAGTTAATTATATCACGAAATCTATTGATAATTAAGGATATTATCAACTATTGAATCAATTGATTAGCTTAAATTGCTTCACTGGGAGTTTATTCATTGATTGATCAACTAATTAAGTAGATGATGAAAACTCTTTTACTTTATTCATCCAACTGAAATCAATTCTTAAACAAAAGGATAATTAACCCACTTGATGATATAAAATGTTTCCATTTGCATTTGCCCTGAGGATATTTACTCAGTAAATAGTTGGAACTTGTAATGTATTTCCAATGATAATCTCTCTCTCTCTCTCTCTCTCTCTCTCTCTCTCTCTCTCTCTCTCTCTCTCTCTCTCTCTCTCTCTCTCTCTCTGTCCAATTTCCAACTCCATGAAATTCAGGAAATCATTTCAACTCAAGTTTCTTTTATTAATAGTAATTTGTGATGAAAAAAATTCGTTTCTCGATTCTAAGTATCATGTAGATTTGAGTTTACATTGAAACTTTTTCGAATCACCGGAAGTTTTGTAATTTCCTTGTCTTAGAATTGAACTGACATTGAATGTGTTAAAAGGTAACAGGTAAATAGATTTCTCCCTGAAAATATCGAAGAAGGAGATAAAATAACAAGATTTTCCATATTCGGAAAATAGAAATTGAAATTTCCAACTGATACTCATGTTTCTAAGTCAATTACTAAAAGGATTTGATTACAGTTCTTATTGAACAATTGAAAAATCTACAAAAGAAACTTTAATCGCCTAAGGTTGAAATTTCGAAACCTATTGATTCAATCAGATTAGAAAGTAGTGAAATATTACCACTTCTGGCACACAAATTTACTCTTTCTTTTTCTCTCTCTCTCTCATCATCATTTACCGAGTTATAAATGGCGGGAAAACCAAAAAATTAAATAATTCATATTTTAATTATTGATCAATGTATCATCATAGAGCTCATAAACAAAATGAAGTCTATCAATTACAGGTAATGAACATTCTTCATTGTTTTATAGATATGGACAAACTTCAATCAACACTAAGATCATTGTAATCAAATCCTTTCGTAGATAAATCGTATGTTGATACCCCACAATTCCAATAGATTACTTGACCTTCTATCCAAGCAGGCGATAACAGATCGTCCTTCCTTCTTTATACAGGTCCAGAATAGGTAGACAAAGTGAAAAATTTTATCCTCTTCACAGGTTGAATTGCGGAGATGGCGAAGATAACATAATTCAGACCAAATGGTTCGAATATTACCAAAGAGAAAACGATAGACAATAGAGTTGACTTTTGAATACGCATGAAATAGTTGATCACCTGATTTCATTGCAATTTCAATTTCATCATTTCAACTTTGGAAATGAAAGTAAGCACAAATTGAATGATAAAACATTTTAAGTGATTTATTGGAGATGAAGATGATGAATGATCGAAACTAAGATTGTTCAACGTCTTTTATACTCATCACCAACAACCAACACACCCATATATCCAATCGTAAATTCGTTTTGATTCAATTAAACATCTATTGGCAATCAATTCATTTTAACTTCAATCACATAAAATTCGTTTCATTGTATAGATAATCAATTCATTTTAACTTCAATCACATAAAATTTTTTTCATTGTATAGATAATCGATTCATTTTAACTTCAATCACATAAAATTCGTTTCATTGTATAGATAATCGATTCATTTTAACTTCAATCATATAAAATTTGTTTCATTGTATAGATTATCGATTCATTTTCATTAATGTTTTTTTAATAACCATATCATGTTGTATTATATATAAAGACAATCTTCGAACATCATTCATTCAACAAAAATGGTTTCATTTAAGTGCTTTGAGTGTAAACGTACTTATAAGATTGAGAAAAACTTTCGTAAACATATTGAACAGTGTCAGTCTACTGAAACTTATGGTTTAGTAGATTTTCCTCCCTATAAAATTATGAAAAGTGCTTTTCGACAGTTTCTCTTAATTTATTTAGTGAATAATTTAACCTACAGAGATACAAATGAAATGTTTATTGATCAACGAACTAATATGGAAGATTTACTTTTTTATGTGTTTGAATATCTCGGTGTTTTCAAGTATCAAGTTTGTGTTAATGGACTTCTTACTAAACCAGACGGTGAAAAAACTATTCAACCTTATTTCACATCATCAATGAAGACAATTACGTTAAGAGATAATATATTCATAACTCTTGACGAATGTAAAGATGAGGTGAATAATCGAATCGATACATTTACTCATCTTGGTAGCGGTTGGTCAATCAATAAGATATCATCAATCGAAATACGTATTGCAAAGTTTATTCCTCAAAGTGGGGGTTGTCGTGAATTAGAATTACCAGATTGGATACAGAATAAAAAGGCGTTAATCTCGATTGACTGCGAAGAAAATTGTTTCATGTGGTCAGTCCTAGCAGCATTATATCAACACAAAGATAACCCACAAAGAACATCACATTATAAAGAACACATTCACAAACATAATTTCAATGGATGCAAAGGATTTGTTGACATAATTGATATTCCAAAGTTTGAGCGGTTAAATGAAATTTCAATCAACATATATTCATTAGATATTGACACAAATATTATACCTTTACAGTTGAGTAAATACAAATTCGATATTAAAATCAAATTATTTTACTTCAAGGTCATTACTATTTCATCAAAATTTTAACCGTCTTTTGAACCAACAAGGATCAGGATTATATCATTGTTACAGATGTTTTGTTGGATTTAAAATTTTTCAAGACTTGAGAAACATTTGGAAACATGTAGTTCAGATCAACATGTTATTATCCCACATGAATCAAGCAAAATTGGTTTCATGAAATGGAAAGCATTACAACCATATCCATTCATTGTATGCTGATTTTGAGACACTAATTAAACCAATTAATATCGAATCTGCTAAAACACTTTTGAATACCAAAGTCATATCGCTAGTTATGGTCTTATTGTCGTTGATTGGAAACAAGATATTATTCATTCTTCATTTTATCGTGGACAAAACATAGTAGTAAGTTCATAGATGAATTGAATTCCTTAAAACCAGTACTTTACCAATCTTTCAAAGAGAACAAAAAACCTCTTTCTATAACCAGAGAGGAACACATGAAAGTTCTGAGTGCATCGCAGTATTGTTGGATATGCGGATTTCCTTTCAAAGACCATGATAAACGTGTTTGTGATCACCATCATCTAACAGGCGAGATAAGAGGTGCTGCTCATCAATGTTGTAATCTTGAACTTTTTTGGAATTTTAAAATACCCGTTGTTTTTCACAATCTAAAAAATTTCGATAGTCACTTGATTATCCAAGCAATTAATAGGACAAACACCAACAATATTGATGTTATTCCTCATACTATGGAAAAATATTCAGCTATATTCATGAACCAATTCATTTTCATCGATTCATATGCTTTTCTTGCTTCTAGTCTGGATACTCTAGCGTCAAATCTGGACGATGATATCAAGAGAACATATCTCAAGAAGATTTTTCCTATTTATAAAATCGACAATTTACTGAGAAAAGGAGCTTTGCCTTATGAATATATAGATGATTGGTCTAAATTTGAAGATAAATCTTTACCTCCAATTGAAAAATTTTATTCATCATTAACAAACAAATCAATTGATCAACAACTTTATGATCGATTACTAACAATATGGGATGAGTTCAAGTGTCGAAACTTAGGAGAGTTTCAAGACATTTATCTAAGAGTTGACGTCACACTCTTAGCAGCTGTATTTGAAACGTTTCGAAAAAACTGCATTCAAGAGTTCGAACTCGATCCAGCTCATTTTGTATCAATCCCAGGACTATCATGGAATGCAGCTCTAAGAAAAACTAGAGCCAGACTGGACTTATTGACTGATATTGATATGATAACGATGATTGAAAAAGGTATTCGTGGTGGAATATCATGCGCAATCTCTCACCACGCAAAGGCAAATAATCCAGATACACCTAACTATAATCCTTTGATGGAACGATCATATATCACCTATCTCGATGTGAACAACTTATACGGATGGGCTTTGAAACAAAAGTTACCGACTCATAACTTCAAATGGGTTGAAAATTATCAATTTGCTGAGATTATTGATAAAATAATTTCAGGATCAGAAAATAAAGGATACATCCTTGAAGTTGAT